GTAATCCTCTGAACCAAGTAGTTCACATATGCATTCAATATTTAGGGATTAATAACTTATTAAGGTTTTGCTAATTTCTCTATCATACAYAACTCTCATATGTGTTCAAGTKGTATTCTGGGCCATTCGCTTCCTGTGATACGTTACTAAAATACTTCCATTGTATTGAAAGAAACTMTCTACCAGGCTGCATACCATCCTTTTTCGTTTTCTTTCAATTATTGCCACGTGCCTTTGACTGAGACGGAGCGAGCGGATCGGTTACATTTGAAGATTGTAAGAAATCAAGGGCGAATCCAGCTGAAATTGTAAGGAATGGCTAAATGGCTATTATATAGGCTATATTATATTATTATAAAGGGGGAGGAGGGAGGGAGAGAAAGGGTTTGCAAATGGAGGTTTTTKGGGATCTTGGTGCTGCATAAAATTTATTTCTTAATTTGCTCACTTATTTTCGAACCCCCAATAGTGTTTGGGTATCCATCTTAATGTATCCACCCACCCCCACCCAGTTTAGATTCGGCGTTGTCTCCATTAATTTAATTCCATGAATGTCGGCTATTTCAGAAAATGTTGAATACTGGCGATACTGCATACATGTATTCCTAGACCGAAACTCATTGCTGCTCGTTTAATCGCCAGTAACGTAAGTCAAAAATTTTAATGGAAAGCAATCAAGTTAACAATTGTCAGTTTGTAACGCAGCTAACGTAGAGTTTAATGCCAACAATGCATTTCGGTCATTACGTGGGCTTCCTGTGGAAGTCCACGTCTAAAAATGCAACTGRCGTTTTCGTCGTGGTGGTGAATATTACGCTTCAAATTGGTAGCGCATCGATAGCGCATGCGTTACAGTCTCAGTTTCCATGGAGATGTCAAAATAAACCAATCAGCGATTTTTGGTAGCGCCTGCGTTGCAGATGGACTGCAGTCTCAGAATGAAAACAAAATGGCTGACAGACGGCGACAAAAAGTTGTCTCGTTTCAAATGGTTCTAAAATGTAGCTAAAATGCTCTAAAGAGCTGAAAATCTTACAAAATCAACTGATTACCATCCAAACGACATGGATTGAGGTATATAATTCAAGATTAGCGGATGATTCGTGCAGAAATGACTGGGCATTTTCTACCGCCGACTCGAAGAGCACTACTTCTTCGTCACACAAGTGTTCGATGTCAAACACAAAATCTTCAAAAATAAGAAATCACATGGATATTTAAGGTTCATACTTTGACAGAAAACAATCATTTGATGGAAGAAATCATATCAAACCTCATCTGAAAAATATTGAGATGCCATTTTCTAAACTAACGATGTGTTTGAAGTTCGGAAAACTGCACGTGTGAGCTTTACTGAACTCTGTATACAAAATCTATATTGTGTATAAAGCATTTTAATTCTCTATTGTTTGTTTTGATGATTGTTTAACTTGAAAAACTTAGACAAATCCAAAAATATGAACTGTCATTAGAAGGCTAAGGTACACCTTTATGATGGCACAGAACGCCAGATTTACAAATTGATGAAAAACACCAAATAAAAAAGAACAGAAACACAAGATACAGATACATGATTAAAATGATCAAAATATTATTCAAAGTTATACTGCCAAGACTGTACCGTTTCTATTGTTTATGTGACCTATATGGCCTATCAGATATTTTGAATGATATAGACGCTCTTGAGCGTAAAGTTGAGCTAGTTATTTTGGAAAACTGAGAAAGACATGGTATCCAAAGAATTTACTTAGAATTCAGTTCGGTAAAAAATTATBATGTAATAAATTGATAACATTAACTTAATTCTGTCTTGACTTATTACAAACAAAGACTATAYATTGTGAAAATGAAACACCATTGTCTCAGGAAGCCCACGTTAGCGATCCATGATCGTCTAGTTGAGTGTACAATGCAGAACACATTATTCAGTATTCAACGCCTTCGGAAAAAGCTTWGTACATTTGGCATATTATCGATTGTGTAGTCTACATTACTCTCCTCTACGGCCATCACTAAGTGTTACRAGCTTCACGTCTTTTTCTGGGAGCTAGAAGAGGGAGAATGGGAGACAATGAAAAAGATCTATTTTCCTTTCTCGTTACTAGTCCCTAACTGTCAAAAAGACCGTTACAAAGAAAACCCGAAGGAGGAAAAATATCTTTCTAGGGAAAAGGCTAACTCTTTCAT